AAAATGCGGGTTCCGCTTGCCCTTCCCAGATAGTCCCTGATGATTGAGGCCTGGAGATTTGGCTGTTCAATCCTCTGGGTGAATTGAAAAAACAGTAGCGCAAATGAGCTCGTTGGCAGGAGATTGTGGTCAGTTGAAATGAAATCAGTACCAACTACATATCTGAAAAAGTGAACCAGTGCTCTTAAAGCTTATATCGATGCCTCATATCAATTAGGGTACCTCTTTTTAAAGACGTATGAGAGATGTGCATTGACATGATACCCGGCAAAACCACGAAACCTTCCATGCCACAACGGTTAATTTCTTGAAAATTGGATGTAAAGGTGTAAACCATTTGAACCAAAAACGACCTATTATTTGAACTCCAATGACAGAAAAGTCGACCATTATCTTAGAGGTAATTGGTGGTCCGGGCATGCATCATATCGAATATCTGCACATCCTATAATTTCTTTGAAAGAGGAATTTTGACTATAGTCAGGTATAGGGACAAAGTTTTGAGGCCCCATGTTTTAATAGAATAAAACGCTCCGGTGAACAGAACTCATCTGATTGACGATTTTCTTTAAAATGAAGATATTCACTGGGTGAAATGGCCAGTCAGATCTCCAGAACTCAGTCACATAGATAATATCTACGACGATCTGGAGAAGAAAACTTAAATATGTTCTCCTCTGAAAGCCATTAAAGGTTTGAAGCCACCGAGATTGAACTGTTTAGAACAATCGCCATATGAACTTCGAAAATCCATATATTTCTCTGAAACTTATGTGTTTTAAAATTGATATATTCTATGCTCTTAAAATCCATATTTCCTAAAATTCATGTATCTAAAATTTTCTACACATTGTTTAGTTCAATTTTGCAACGACTGTTTCGTGCAATTCAACTCAGGTGCGCTTGCATTTCAACTATTACATTTAGTTATTCATTTTATTTTTTGTTATTCATCAGCCTAATACTAAATTTCATCTAAATCAGCGAAAAGTTCTGGAAGTAAATGATCAAAATTCAAAAATTTTCTGAATTTTGAAAACCAGTGTAAATTATAAAAGAAGGATTTAATAAAATGACAGGAGTGAGCGGAATTGGTGATGAGAATTTCAGGGAAGAAAAAAAAATACTGCTAAATATATATATTAGAATTCTAACATTTATAGCTTTCTGTATTAGATTACGTTGAAAAAAATAGTTTTTTTCTTGCAACTTGCATAACAGCAAAATCTACTGGGCAAACGTTTTTTTATTGCAGTTTTTCTAACTGCGTGTAATGCTGTGTATTTTGTTGTGTATATCTACATCGTTTCATACTGTCTGGTACTATGCGCATTAAAATAGAAAATTACATCCTTTTTTTCCGAAAAAGAATCAAACACCCCTATATTCTTATATTCATAAAAAATTATGAAACCTAACACCATACATTAAAAGAAAGTTAAGGAAAATTTTTCAAGTAAATAAACTAAAATAAAGTAAAAAATAAATGAATTTTCGGAAATACAGCAGTTTTACTACTGTACGATCTCTGAATTTAAGAACTTATGACATATTTTTTAATAATCATGAATTCATAACTCCCTGGATAAGGGGGTCTCACAGTGCACTGATCGTTAAGACGCGGTTTCCAGCAGATCATCGAAGTCAAGCATCACTGACTGCGGTCAGTGTGTGGGTGGGTGACCACTTTGATCAGTCTGTGTAGGGACCGAGGGTGTTCGGTATTGGTCCTCGTTCTACTGTAAAGTGCTCGACTTCCCCTTTCATGTCATCGGGCTTCCCCTTTCGGTCATCATCTGGGAGACATCCTCAGGGATGTTTCCCAGACCGTCGCCAATAGCCCATTGCGAAACTCTAATCAATGAATCCGCAAATCTATTGATGCTGTGACTCACAGTAGTCAATATTTTCGCAACCACTTGTACACTGAAATCCTCGATAATCATCGAACTCGCAATCCTCTCTGGATCAACGTTTTCACAACCTCTAGGGTTCTATAGTTTTCTCAACCAATCATAACTTTTTAGATTCCTCCAGCTTTGCGTTATATCATCAAACTCACGCCATGGAGTACAAGACTTAATAATATAATAAACACGTGGGAGGTTCCTTAGCAGAGTGGTCTCTCCACTTCCCCAAACGTTTTGTAGTGCGGAGGTAGCGGGTTCGGTTCTCGCCGAATCCCTTGATGTAAACTTTGCGATGCCCTTGTGCTATTTATTCTTCAACTTGACAAGGGATCATTGCCCGTACTTAGCCAAGTGCATTTAATATGTTAAGCAGTAAATAAACAAATAAATGTACACATTACCCTTTATCATACAATTCGGATATCTGATTTTTAGAATCAACATGAGCGGGGTTAGTAAAGAAACGACAAACTGTTTACGATGTCAACGGCCATACCATGAAAAAAAATACTGATTCTCGTCCGATAACAGAAAAAAAAATTGTTTACTATTGGCCGGGATAGCCTGGTTAGTAGGGCACTGGGCCCAAGTCCATCAGTTCGTGGGTTCAATCCATATAGGATGGATTAGCAAAGAAACGATAAACTGTTTACGATGTCAACAGCCATACGTTGAAAATACCGGTTTTCGTCCGATCACCGAAAAAAAACTGTTTACGATGGGCCGGGATAGCGTGGTTGGTAGGGAACTGGGCCCATGTCCAAGAGTTCGTGGATTCAATCCCCACCTGCCGAAGACTCCCCGTGTAGTAAATGGTGACTGATGCACGTTAAATCTGTCGAGTCTCAAAGTCCTCCATGTTCCCATAACATATCAATACCTCTGATGGTACTGATACAGGAGTTTCCTTGCTTTCCGGATTGGTTCAAAATTACAAGACTACGGAGTTGAACATTAGTAGTCGTAAACCCAAAATTGAGTCGGCTGTTCAACAACGGCAAAAATAAAAATAAAATAAAATCTGTTCTCTCAGCTACTACGTTATCCCGACCGGTTTTGAAATCTTGGTTCAGC